CGGCCAAACACCCACTTCCCAGTCCTTGTGTGAGTTTCCAGTAGACAGGCAGCCAGGACTGAGTCAGATCCCCCGTGCTCGGTAGCGGGCTCCGCGGGTGGCCACGGCGCAGCCGCAGTGGGCTGTGTGGGCTCCCGGCCCCAGGGTCGCCCAGGTGCGTTAGGGCGCTGGGTTTTTCTGGTTGGGTCTTTCTTCCGCTCCTCCGACCTGGCAGTCCCACACCTGCGTAGTCCACGTCTGGGAGGGGGCGTGGCCGACCGTGCGGCTGCAGGTGAGGCGCTCGCGTGCGCAGCCAGGACCAGAATAGGAGATCTAAATTTAACCCGCGTCTGGAGGCCTGGGTGTGGACAGCTCGGCCTCCCGCGACCGCGCCTCGCGCGCCCTCCCGGAGTGGAAACGCTGTCGCTCCTGGCTGGGAGCCGGTTTCCTCCCCAGGAAATAACGGCTCACCGCAGCCGCGGCGGGCCAGCCCCTGGACTTCCCCCTCCCTGGGAGCCGGCGCGCCCGGTATAAACACGCAGCGCCCCGACCCTCCCGGCTCCGCCCGGCTCCCTGCGCCGCAGAACACGAGCGGGTCCTCCCCCACCCCACCCCAAGCCCTCTTCGCGCCTCTGCCCCATGAAGGAACAGAGTTCCGAGTGAATCGCCCGAGGATGGTTCTCTTCGATCAAAATATATTTGTTGGTAGCCGGCGCCGTGGCTCAATAGGCTAATCCTCCACCTTGCGGCGCCGGCACACCGGGTTCCAGTCCCGGTTGGGGCGCCGGATTCTGTCCCAGTTGCCCCTCTTCCAGGCCAGCTCTCTGCTGTGGCCAGGGAGTGCAGTGGAGGATGGCCCAGGTGCTTGGGCCCTGCACCCTATGGGAGACCAGGAAAAGCACCTGGCTCCTGGCTCCTGCCAGGATCAGCGCGGTGCGCCAGCTGCAGCGGCGGCCATTGGAGGGTGAACCAACGGCAAAAGGAAGACCTTTCTCTCTCTGTCTCTCTCTCTCACTGTCCACTCTGCCTGTCAAAAAAAATAATATATATATATATATATATATATTTGTTGGAGACTTATTTATTTGGGGTCTGGAGTTGTGGCACGGGGGCTAAGCTGCCGCCAGCATCCCACATGGGCGCCCCTTCCAGTCCCGGCTGTTCCACTTCGATCCAGCTCTGCTGATCCACCTGGGGAAGCAGCGGGGAGATGGACCGAGCCCTTGGGCTCCTGCACCCACGTGGGAGACCCGGATGGAGCTCCTGGCTGCAGTCTGGCCCAGCCCCGGCCCTTGCGGCCATCTGGGGAGTGAACCAGAGGATGGAAGACCTCTCTCCCCCTCTCATTCTCTCGCTCTCTAGCTCTACCTTTCAAATAAATATATTTTTTTAAATTTTATTTGAAAGGCAAAGTGACACACACAAAGAGAACTCTCACCTGGTTCACTCCCCCAGTGGTCGCAACGGCCAGGTTTGGGCCTCTGCACCTGCGTGGGAGACCCGGGTGGAACTGGCTTGACCAAGCCCCAGCTGTGGCAGCCATCTGGGGAATGAGTCAGCAGATGGAACATCTCTCTCTCTCTCTCTCTCTCTCTCTCGCCCTCTCCTATGTATCTCTGCCTTTCAAATAGATAAATAAATCTTAAAAAAAAAAATGTTGGTTTAGGATCCTGCGATCCATGCCACGGTGCCTGGGCTCATTCCGTACACACTGGGGCTCCTGACTCGGTGTCTGCTGATGCGCACACTGTGAGGTAGCAGGTGACCCACGGCTCAGGTAGTTTCGTCCCTGACACCCACGTGGGAGACCTGGACGGAGCTCCTTGCTCTCGGCTTCTGCCTGGACACATCTGGCTGTCCTGGGCCTCTGGGGGAGTGAGTGAGTACATGGAAGGTTTCTCTCTGCCTCTCAACTTAAATTTTAAAAATTTATTATTTAAAAGCTTTGCTTATTTATTTGAAAGGCAGAGTTACAGAAAAAGGCAGACAGACAGACAGAGCGCTCTTCCATCCACTGGTTCACTCCTCAAATGGCCGCAACGCCCAGGCCTGGGTCAGGCAGAAGCCAGGAGCCTGGAGCTTCACCAGGGTATCCCACGTGGGTGACGGGGCTCGTGGATTTGGGCCATCTTGCTCTGCCTTCCCAAGTGCATTAGCAGGGAGCTGGATAGGAAGTGGAGCAGCCGGGACCTGAATTGGCATCCACGTGGGATGCTGGCATTGCAGGCGGCAGCTCAAGCCAGCATGCCACAACACCAGCCCAAATTTATTATTTTTTTTTAAAGAAAGAAGAGATAAAAAGATTCTTGTGAGGATGGTGTGAGTGTTGGGCAGACACTGTCTCTTCAGCCAAGTCTGGCCGAGGCCCAGGTCAGCTCCCAGGGAGAGAACCCCTGGAAGCTTTCAGAGGGGTCGACCCCTGGGACAGTCCCACATTGGGACACGGAGGGCCGCACACACGTGGCCACGTGGAAGCTCCCAGCCTCAGCTGCCACCTCCCAGCAGCAGCGTGGGAGAACCCCACAGGCACAGCCCTGGATGCCAGGAGTGGGGGGGACACGCCCCGCACACTGGGTTGCCGGGCAACAGGCAGCAACACGGAGCGCCACACCCGGCTCGGACAACACCCTGGTGCTGTTGGGCACAGGCAGGATCCCAGGAAGTGGGCTGTTTTGTGCAGACTCTGCGCCTGCGAACGTGCCCCCAGGGGAAGCCCCATGTTAGCAGCGGTGGGTAACCGGGGAACCCCCCCCCACAGCCCAAATGTGGCCTGGATTTGGACTGCGTCCAGACAAGTTTCCCCTACTCCTGCGGGGCCTCGGGAACGCGCACAGTCGTCCCAGACTCCTCGCCTCTATTGTTTCCTCTTGGAAAACCTGGGCTTTTCCGTGCAGTGGCCCGAGTCTATTTCTGTACCTGTCAAGCGTTAGCCAAGGATTGTTCTTTGGAAATCGTCTTTAGTGCGTTGCAAACAATGCCTCGCCTTTGTTTCCAAATTCAGCCCTGCAAACACAGTTAGAGGACCACTTTGCGCATTAACAGACAAATCACGAGCTTGGGTTGTTTTCAGTCTTTGGGCGTGGGGGAAAGGCAAACTTACTGGCTCTCAGGGATTTTTAAAATCCTAACTCCGTTATAGAAAAACAATAAGCACTACAACTTCAACATCTTTTTAAAATATCTTTTTTTAAGATTTATATGTTTGGGGGCTGGCACTGTGGTGCAGCAGGTAAAGCCACCGCCTGCAGTGCTGGCATCCCATAAGGGCACCGCTTCAAGTCCTGGCTGCTCCTCTTCCGACCCAGCTCTCTGCTATGGCCTGGGAAAGCAGTGGAGGATGGCCCAAGTCCTTGGGCCTCTGCACCCATGTGGGAGGCCTGGGGGGAAGCTCCTGGCTCCTGGCTCCTGGCTTCAAATCAGCCCAGCTTTGGCTGTTGCGGCCATTTGGGGAGTGAACCAGCAGGTGGAAGACCTTTCTCTCTCTCTCTGCCTCTGTCTCTGCCTCTCTGTAACTCTGTCTTTCAAATAAATAAACAAATCTTTAAAATTAAAAAAAATATTTATGTATTTGAGAGGCAGAGAGAGGAGAGAAAGATCTTCCATCTGTTAGTTCACCCCCAGAGGGCTGCAATGGTTGAGCCCCTGCTGAACGCAGGAGCCTGGAACTCCATCCGGTTCTCCCAAGTGGGTGGCAGGAGCCCAAGTACTTGGAGCATCACAGTTAGGAGTTGGACCGGAAGTGGAGCAGCTGGGACTTGGTCTGGTGCTGCAAGATGGGAGGCCAGCGTTGCAGGTGGCAGCTTAACCTGCTGTGTCACAAGGCCGGCCCCGCCTTTGACATCTGGACAGTGCAGCACGGGACCCTGGCTCGACCTCCTTTGTGAGGAGGCAGGTGGTGTACGCATGTCTGTGCTCTCAGTGGGGTCCTGGCTGAGGCCCCATCACAAGGGACAGACGACAAGACAGACCCCCGGCAGGCATTTCGCACTCGCAGGAGCCCTGTAGATGCAGCCCCAGGGGGGCCGGTGCTCCCTGGGCTTGGTGAAATAGGCTGGAGCAGACGTGCGCTGGGGGATGGCAGAGGGTTAGCGGCAAGGCCTGCCAGTCCAGATTCTTTTCTGGTTCCCTGCGGCTTCAGAGATAAGAATGCACCTTCGCTCCAGGCATGGGGAGGGCTCCTCTCACATGAGGGCCCATGACCTGCTGCAGGGGAGACAGAGTGTGGATTCTCACGAAGGCTCAGGGGCCAGGGCTTGGAGTAGTGTGTCCTGAACGCCATCATTGTCTTACAAACGCTTTATTAAGACTTCCTGAGATGGGGGCCAGCGCTGTGGCACAGCAGGTTAAGTCAAGGCCGGCCGTGTCCACATCCCTTCTCAGGGCACCAGTTCGAGTCCTGGCTTCTCTGACGCTGATCCAGCTCCCTGCTAATGCGCCTGGGCAAGCAGCGGAAGGCGGCCCAAGTGCTGGGGTCCCCGCACCCATGTCAGAGACCTGGATGGAACTCCTGGCTCCTGGCTTCAGCCTGGCCCTGACCTGGCCATTATGGCTATTTGGGAAATGAACTAGTGGATGGAAGACATCTCTCTCTCTCTCTCTCTCTCTGCCTTTCAAGTAAATAAATCTTTTTTTTTAAACTCACAGATAAGATCTGAAACATTAAGGTTTGTGGGTCATTCTTAAAATTTTAAAAAATCGATTTGAAAGGCAGAGAAACAAAGAGACAGACAGGGAGCTCTATCTTCCACCCTTTTGGTTCCTCCCCCAAATGCCCACAACAGCCAGGGTTGGGTCAGGCCAAAGCCAGGAGCCCGGAAGTCAGTCCAGGTCTCCCGGGATTGTCAGGGACCCAGGTACTGTGAAGGAAGCTGGCATCGGCAGCAGGGCTGGGACCTGCACCCGGGCACTTTGGATGTGGGATGTGGGTGTCTGAGAGGCATCTTAACCACTGCGCCCAGTGCCTGCCCCCACATCACGCCTGAGGGTTTGAAGCCCCTCACTGGCTTTCTTTTCAATTCTAGAATCAAGCAGCACGCTGGGAAGAGGATCCACAAGAGGCTGGTTTTATGGAAAGAAAGGGGCTGAAGGAAGCAGTGGCAAAGACCGGGCCCTGCAAAGCCGCTTGTCTGGTAAGGGCCGGGGCGGGGACTCAGAACAGGAAAACAACCGCCTGGTCAGCGTGGGGCTTCCTCAGGTCTCCCTCGTTCGCATGCGCCAAGGCGGGTGCCTCGGGGAAATCTGTCTGTTCTCTCCGGTCCTGGCTTCTCCAAGGATGGGACTCTAGCCTGAGTCGGACTGCACCGTGATGTTTAGCCTGGCCTGCTGGGGCCGTGCAGGAGGTTAGTGCAAACACGGCCCCTGCACTGTTTATTTCACCACCAGTGCCGAGATGCCCCGGCCAGGGACCGGTGGTGCAGGGCCTGCGGCTCCCTCAGGGCCCACTCCAGCCTCGCTCCTCCTGCAAAGCAGTGTTTGTTTCTTTAGCTGAAGGCTTGATACACCTGCCTTCCCCAGATGCACCTGTCACATCCGAGATCAGGTTAGATGCTAAGACCCGACCCTGTTTGTATATCCGATCAGGTACCACCCCTGGCCTCATAAAAAAAAAAAAAGGCAGAGAGTAGGGAGTGGTCTCCTCACCACGGAGCACGCTCGGGGGTACCGCTTGCATTTTGTCTTTCACAGGCAACCCTCTGGCCCACTCCTGATGGGCGTTTCTCTGCACGGGGTGGCCCACGCTCACGTGTGAATGTTTGTTTATTCCCTAACTGTCCAGTAAATCCTGGTCCTATGTGCACACACTGGTGGCTCCCGCTTAGCTAAATGTTTTTCTCTCTGTAGAAGACGAGACTCTGGACTGGAAATCAATAGGCTCGTTGACCAGAGCCGGCGTGCCAGTCTGAGTCCTGGCTGCTCTGCTCCCAGTGCAGCTCCCTGCTAATGCTCCTGGGAAGGCGGCAGATGCTGGGCCAAGTGCTTGCGTCCCTGACACCCCCGCAGGAGACCTGAATGGAGTCCCAGATCCTGGCTTCAGCCAGGTGCTACAATGTTACAAGGGTCTGGGCGAGTGAACAGTGGATTGGAAGATCTCTCTCTCTCTCTCCCTCTCTCTCTCTCTCTCTCTCTCTCTGGTAAGCAGATGAAAATAAATAAGTAAACTTTAAAAACCCCACAATTTTAACTACGAAACGTTCCAGGTCAGGAGAGGATTAGTTTCCTGTGGCTGCTGTGACGGATGACCACACATGCAGTGACCCACAACGGCACGAGTTCGGTCCCCTACGGTTCTGAAGACCAGCAGCCCAAAAGCCAGGCGCTGCCAGGGCCGGGCGCCGTCCCTGGCTTCTTCAGCTGCGTGGAGCCGTCTGCATTCCTTGGCTGTGGCCACTTCCTGCCTCAGCGAAACGCAGGATGCCCACTTCCACTTCTGGCCACTTCTCCTCTCTCGGTCTCGGATCTCCTGCCCCTCTCTCCAAGGACCTCGGACTACACTGGGCCCAGCCAGACAACTCAGAACGATTGATCTCCCCAGCTCAACCCTGCACCACATCCCTTTGCTACGTGCACGGGACCACAGGTGTAAAATGCAATGCAGCAGACACGCGTGTACAGACCACACACACACAGAACCGATGCCGACCGCTTGCCCTATTTTCTTCAGATGTTTTTTTAATTTTTATGTTTACTTGAGACACAGAGAAAATGAGAGAGAGAGAGAAAGAGAGAGAGAGAAGGAGAGAGAACGAGCGAGTGAGCACTCCATCCATTAGTCCACTCCCCAAATGCCAGACCAGCAACCAGGAACTCAACCCAGGCCTTCCGCGTGGGTGGGCGAGACCCAATCCCTTTCCATGGAATTTCCCCACGGCATCACCAGCACCCGGTGTTTTCAGATTTGCTATATCTTTTAAGATCGATTTTATTTATTTGAAAGGCAGAATTACAGAGAGAGAGAGAGAGAGAGAGAGAGAGAGAGAGAGAGGTCTTCCATCTGCTGTTTCTCTCCTTGAATGGCCGCAATGGCCGGAGCTGCGCTGATCCGAAGCCAGGAGCCAGGAGCTTCTTCCGGGTCTCCCACGTGGGTGCAGGGGCCCAAGCACTCAGGCCGTCTTCTACTGCTTTCCCAGGCACATTCACAGGGAGCTGCATCAGAAGTGGGGCAGCCAGGACCTGAACCGGCACCCATATGGTACGCCGGTGCTCAGGCCGGGCCTTTAACCTGCTGCGCCACAGCACTGGCCCCACTTTATTTCTTCTCCCTTCCCTTCCCTCCCTCCTTCCCTCCCTCCCTCCCTCCCTCCTTCCCTCCCTCCCTCCCTCCCTCCTTCCCCCCTCCTCTTTCCCTCCTCCCCCCCTCCTCCCTG